AACCACCACCACCACCATCATCATCTCCATCACCACCACCACCATCATCCATCACCATCATCACCACCATCACCAACACCATCATCATCTCCATCACCACCACCATCCATCACCATCATCACCACCATCACCAACACCATCATCATCTCCATCACCATCATCATCACCATCTCCATCACCATCATCATCACCATCACCACCACCACCACCATCATCTCCATCACCATCATTACCACCATCATCATCACCATCACTATCATCATCATCATCTCCACCACCATCATCTCCATCACCATCATTACCACATCATCATCACCATCACCACCACCACCACCATCATCTCCATCACCATCATCACCATCATCATCATCACCATCACCATCATCACCACCATCATCACCATCATCTCCATCACCACCAGCATCACCATCTCCATCACCATAATCACCAGATTCTCATTAGACACTTTGTTGAAACAAAGACTCACTCTTGTGTCTGTTGGCAGGAGGAGCAATCCACAGCACGTTTAAAACCAGGCCAGGTTCCCCGATGTTGGACTTGGCAGACCCCCTCTTACAGTAGCGTATCGAAGTCAAGGAGGCCCAGAGGGGGTCTGGTGCCAGAGTGCTCTGGGTCTGGAGGTGCTCGATAGAGTCTGGAGCAGGTGGGTGGATTTCAGCAACACCCTGCTCCCTCCCTCTCTCTGCAAAGGAGTCCCCATCTTGCATTCCAGCCGGGGGGTGGTAAGAATCACTCATTTATGGCCTCCCTTCAAGAGCCCCCACAGGAAGTGAAGAAGTCCCTTCGGAGCCTCCAGTCCAGAAATAGAACATTTTCCCCTCGTGAGCTCAGTGTGTACCCAGCCAGAGGCAACGCCAGCCGGCCGTGCCAGGGCACCAGGGACACTGAGGTCCCTGGCTGGGGAAACGAGAGGCAGGATATGCCATGTCCCTGGTGACCCTGGCCTTGGCTGGAGCCCCCACTGTGGGGAGAGCGGAGGTTTTCATCCCCGAGGGATGTGAGATGGAGATGCCCCCCACCTGTCTCCCGCCCTGAAGCCACCTGCAGCCTGGAGCTCGGGTCCACCTTGGCTGATGACAGGATTTCATGAGGGACCCTCCTAAGGGAGTGGCTGTCACCCCTGTTTCTTTGCGACGGGCCAAGGCCAGGTGAGCTGAGAGCCACTTGCTGCACCCAGGCCTTGGCTGGGTCTCTGCCCACAGCTGATTTTCTGACACTGGACGTGGCTGCCACTCGAGCTGGGCACCAAGGGCCTGGTACAGGCTTCATGCTGTCTGCTCAACGGCCCAAGTGGCACTGGGCGAGGAACAAAGGCCAAGAGATGTCACCAAATTCGTGCGTCCCTTCCACTACGTAGGGAGCTAACATTCAGGGTCTGGAACCCTCTGCCCAGGCCCAGGGTCAGCCTCCATGGTGTCTGGTCCCACTGGGCGCTGGACTACCTTCCTCCCTGCCTGCGTGGATCTCGGGAGCTACATCCTGTGCTCTGACTTCTGGGGGGTTCAGTCTATGGGGACAAGTGAGGGACCGTGGGCAGGCCTCCTCCGTGTGTGTGGGTCCCTGCTCTTGTGCTTCCTGCCTCCTGCTTCTCCCTCCTTGGTTCCTGATCCTGCTGGACCGCCGCCCGGGCTCCAGCCTTCTCGAGGTGGCCCTGGCACCCGGGTTCTGCGACACGGTCTCCCACTCTGTTCCTCAAGCTCAAGGGGTGTTGGTGCCCTTCTGTTGACACTGACCTGTGGTGCCTCCGCGGTGCCTGGTGTCCCCTCTCGCTCACCAGCCGGAGACCCTCCCACACTAAAGCCTTCCTGTGTGGATCCCGGGGAGGCGACTCTGTGCAGAACGGACCTGGGCTTGCAGATTGGCAGCCATGTGGGAGGGAGGAAAGGCAGCCCCTAGGCTGGCCACCACCTCGCTGCCCTCAAGTCCAGCTTCCTTCATGGCCATAGCACTACCCCGTTCTGCAGAGGGGAGATTTCAGGCTCTCGTGGTCACCAACGTGTTCACCTGCGTGGAAGCAGAGACAGGTCCACCCTGCCCTGCTGGGTGCCCCGGGCCGAGCCCTGGCCTCTGGCCCCTGCAGCCTCCCCAGGCCCTGCCCACCCGGCTCCCTCTGTCCCCACACAGGAGCAGGATTTGTTGTCCCACTCATCTGAGGAAAGCCAGTGCCTGCTGAGACCCTGGAGGACATGACTCCTTGTCACCTCCCGTCCCTAGGATTCCGACCGTTTGGAGCTCCTGGCCTCCCGGGCTGCACAGCGTGGCCTGAGCTGCCGTGCTGGCCCAGATTTATGGCCTTGTTATTACTGTGTTTTGGAGTTTTACAGCCCTGCGCTCCCTGGAGAATCCAAGTGCTTTCTCTAGGACATATCAGTCAGACGGGGAGGAAACATCCAGAACTCTGGGAACATCCTGTGTCGCCGCGGCTCCCGGCCCCAGGTACGGGCCTTTGTTTGCCGCGGGGGGAGGAGGAAACTGATAAAGGGCAGGGCTGGGGGAGGGCGGCGCGGCACCTCGGTGCCCGGTTTGTGCACCGTGACACATGTCCCCAGCTTCCTGAGCAAAACAGGCATCCCGCGGCCTCTGATGTGCAGCCAGAGCTCCCGCGAAGCGCGCGGAGCCCCTCTTAATGAGCCTCCCGCCCGCCAGGGCAGACTGCTGACTCCGCAAGGAGCCGACCAGCTCGCCAGTGGGGTCCAGCGGGCTTTGCCCTCCCAGAAACAAGGCCCCATTGTCCCGCTCCGCCCTCCCCTGCCGCCCACCCGCTCCCAGAATCCTCTGGGCTGCGGTTCTGCCTCAGCTGAGGCCTCAGTTCCGAGGGGCCAGGGCAGGAGGGAGGAGAGGAGGAGGAGAGGAGGTGCCGGCTGCAGCGAGCCGTGCTCAGTGACAGTCACTCTGTGAATAACAGCCAATGACTACAGGGCACAGAGTCCCCACGGTAAAGGGTAGGGCTGCTGGGGCGGCTCAGCGCTCCTTCTAGAACACTCCACAGTGT